GAGTTTCAGTGTCATTTTGAGCCATTTCTTGATGTCATTCCATGATCTTTAGGGGACACTATAGGAAACTGTCATTCATCACACACTATTTGCTTTCCTTCATATTTGCTAATTGTATTTTATTTTTTCTTTAGGGTTTTACTCATATTTTCCCCCGATCTGGAGGATCCTTTTTTGCTAGTTTGTTTCATTGAAGTTTTTTTTTCCTCTAGATATCTTTTGTCTTTTAGTCTTCTTTTATTTATCACTCATTCTGATGCCTCCCTCTTCATTGGTGTCATCAAATATCAGAGGTGTTTGGACAAAACCACTATGTTAGGACTGGGTCATGAATAATCCTGCAATTTATTTTATGTTCACTGCAATGGCCACGTGAGGCAAGGGGAGGATAGTCACTGAGTTAGTGCTCTGAGTATTAAAGTTCTTCAGTGTTAATTCATAATTTTTTTTCTTTTTTACCTTACACTGTTCTGTCTTCTTTTCTTGAGGCTTTAGCTCTAATTACTCTCCATATGGTATTTAAGTCCTTTGTTTGGAGGTTGAAGGATTGGAGAGATATGCAGAGAGCTATTAATCCACCATCTTGCTAGTGACAGGAGAAGTACTGTATGGGGGAAGGGGAAAGGATACAATGGTAAATATAGGGGATGTAAAGTCAAAAGATATTAATACAAATGTATTTTTAAAAAATAACCATATTATGGCCGGAGTACAGGATATGATACCAGAGTAAGACCTGAAATGAGGACAATGGAAACAGAAGATTAGAGAACACTGAAGTTGATAAAGAAATTAAGTGCCCCAGGCAAATGCTAGGTGGGAATGAAGGGAAATAAGGTGGCACAGTAAATAGAGGCCCTGGGCCCTCAGACAGCAGCTGTGTGACCCTGGGCAAGTCACTTAACCCTGTTTGCTTCAGTTTCCTTATCTGTAAAAAATGATCTGGAGAAGGAAATGGCAAACCACCTCAGTATCTCTGCCAAGAAAACCCCAAAGAGCTAGACACAACTGACACAACTTAACAACAACAACAAAAAGAACTAATTGAAAGGTGTTATTAATTGAATATACTATCCTTCCTAGAAGGATGGAATTTTAAAAACAGAAGTTTCAGGAATACAATGGTTAACATACATACATACATACACACATACATATAAATATATATAAATACACAAACATATAATATGTGCAGATATGTGTACATACATGTTATATGTATATGTGATTATATTGTCTCCCTGATAGAATTCGAGTTCTGAGGATAGAGACTATTTTGTGTCTTCATATGACCAGTGTCTAACGTAGTTACTTAATAAATGCTTGTGATTACTTTTTTTTTTAAAAAAGTGTCTTACTTCTACCATCATCTCTTGTTCTCCAGTCATCCAGAAATAATATGGTTATTTTTATTTTTTAAGGTTTTATTGCTACCTTTTGATTTTATATCCCCTACATTTCCCAATGTTTACCTTTTTCTTCCCTCTTACAATGCTTCTCCTGTGACCAGCAAGATGGTGAATTTGTAGCTTTCTGCAAACCTCTTAGAGTGCCTGGCACATTATAGATACTTAATAAATACTAGCTGACTAACTGATTCTTCAATTCTACAATCTCCACATGAATGAATGAATGAATGAATGAATCTCTTCCTTTTTTTCCCCACTGTCCTCTTTTCCATTTTGTAACAAAGAACATAAATGCAAAGTGCTAAAAGTAGGAAAAAAAATCTAATATCTGTACTGGGTAATTAATTATGTTTATTCTTTGTTGTGAAGTTAATGCATTCTAAATCCTGTCTGTTTTGTGTGTTAATACTGCAGGATTTCACTATTATTTGTTAGGGTAGGGGTCTGCCCCATTACAAAAAAAACAGATTTCTTGATTGAATTAATCAGAGGCAGAACAGGTGTGAACAAGGCCAGATCCTCTACTGAATCAATTAATCACAGGTATAAACTAATGAGATTATTTGAAGATCAGGTTATGCCCTGTGGGATTTTTATTTTATTTTTTTAAAGTAACAAACTAGTTTGGAATCTACCATTCTAGGGGCCAGAAATGCTGGCAGACAGCTTCATCCAAACCTCTGAAAAGGAATCCTTTGTGTTGGGTTAGAAGGGAAGAAGAGTCTTTGTCTCCTCTTCCAACCAAAGGAAAACATTTCAAATTCAGAAAGTCCAGCAGCTAGGTGGCATAGTGGATAGAATGCTAGGCCTGGAGACAGGAAAACTCATCTTTCCGAGTTCAAATCTGGCTTCAGACACTTACTAGCTGTTTGACCCTGGGCAAGACATTTAACACTGTTTGCCTCAGTTTCCTCATCTGTGAAATGAACTGGAGAAGGAAATGTCAAACTACTCTAGTATCTCTACCAAGAAAACTCCAAATGGGGTCATGAAGACACAATCGAACAACAAAAAGAAGAAAACCTGTAAGAGTTAAATTACAGCTTCATTTTAATGCCAGATGAGAATGGAAACACAGGCAAAAGCAACAGCCGGCATATCAAGAAAGCCAGCAGCATATGGAATGCATGGTCAGCCTCTGAGATAAGACTTTGGGCATCCTTGAAAGCAAAGTGCTTCAGTGCTAATCTGTGTAAACCCTGAGAATAGTTGTGAGGAAAAGACTATAGCTATACTCATACCAGAATAAACAGGTCTTTTTAACATCAAGGAAGATTAACTACACCTGCTTTCTCCTTCATTCTCCCCAGAAAGAGCTGAAAGCCACTTATTCTTGAATATCCTTACTGGGGTTAGACTACAATGAAACAAAACACAACATTTCTGACTGCTTCTCCCTGGCCCTTTTCTAGACATTTCCCCCATTATTCATCCCTCTCTGCCCCCAATATTTTCTTCTTCCATCAAGTATAAAGTATAAAGTTTTTCGATAGAATGTGTCCAATCTTGCCCTCTCTCCTTATTTAGTTTAGAAGTTTAGGATGAAAGTGAAAGCAAAAGAAAGAACCAGTTCCCCTTCTGGTTCCCTCCCACCATAGGAATGTGAGCAAGACAGATTCTTTCCAAACCACACATTTTTCTTCCCATTGATTATCCCAAGAGGCATGACCTTCCCTAAGTCTCTGACCCTAGTTTGCTCTCCCTCCCCCAGTTTTGGAAACTGGAACTTCCTTGAGGCACCTGTGTTTTAAGCCCTATGAATCTGGTTCACCAATGAATCTGGTTCACCAATGACTCCGGTTCACCAATGACTCCATTAGTAGCCTAAGAGTTGCAGTCTTGTGTCAAATAGTCCATGCATTTCTGCTATTTCAGAGCTCCTAAAAGTTATCAATAAAAGTAAAAGCCATAAAATTCTCTCACCATCTGATTATAGGGAATCTTTAGCATTCTAGTTAGAAGTCAAAACTACTAACTCCTATACCAAACTAGTCACTGGTGTCCTCCACTGCACCGCCGAGCCCCACCTCCCAGCAATTACTTAACAGATATGAATCACAGTTAAATTATGGTGATCAAAGTTTATAGGAGACAAAATTAGAAGATAGAAGCAACTTAAAGGAATAGAGAAAATCAGGTAGATTTTCAGGTAGATAACCTGCCTGTTACAGGTACCTAGAAGACAGAACGGAAAATTAAATCTTTTGCAGCTCTCAAAAAGGCTGGTCATAGCCAGCACTCTCGGGCTATTCTGGCCATGCCTCCTACTCTCCCTCCCCCGCCCCACTCCTCCAGCTGTTTTCTCAAGACGGGAGACCAGCCTTCCATCACTCTGTTCTAGCACCTTGAATTGCTAAACGCCTACAGAGGCCTCTTTGAGCTCATCATCTTGCAACAATCATCACGTTGGTTCCTTCTGCCAATTAAACTCTGTCGATGTGAAGCTCTTACAGCCATCTCTACCAATTGAAACTGGAATCTGTATTCTCATGCCTAGTTCCAGTTTATCTTCTACAACTCTCTTCCCTCTTCCCTATCTCCTCCAGTCGGGGGGATTAATCTTCCAATCTCAGAGGCTTCATTCTGACTTCAGGAACTTCAACTCCAGTATTTCTCTAAGTCCCTGAGGCGCATTCATAAAAGAGGAAAATGAGTTTCCGACAGGTTACTCCAAAGCATACTAGAATCCAGCCTCCCCTACAAGCAGTCTTCCAACTATGCTGGGCACAATGCCTGACACACAGTAGTAACACATAGTAGGCTCTTAATAAATATTGACTGATTACTATACTGCACTAGACTATATTCCCTTCCTCAGTATACACTGTGGAGGTCTTTTCTCTCCAGGAACTAGATCCCATTCTTTCCCAACAAGCAGAGGTTTTCTTTTCTAACCCCTCCAATGCTGGTGGTCTTTCTAACTCTTCGTCAAACCATAACCCCGCTATTTTTTTTTTTTTTTTTGCCCATTAAAAGTGAGTTTTCAGCACACAAACACTTGGTAGCTAATTCAACAATTAAAAATACCTGACGGAGAAATGTGACTCCCAGTCAAGAAGTTAGGAGGCTCTGAAACTGAAAGTCGAACAGATGAAACGCCCATAAGCTCATCGGAGAAGCCAAGAAATTGGCATAGACTACCAGAGCTACTACCCAGGAGTTGTCTTAGTTTTACCTGGGCCTAAAGCTGCTGGGCACAGAGCTCTGCTCGCGTCCCACTGCCTGGTTCTCTTGGGCTTCCGACAGCAAGCTCCCTACCTTCTGTTGGAGCCCGCGCGCTTCTAAGAGGTTAACTCGCGCCTGGCTCTTTCTCAGCAGCTGGAGTAGTGGACTAGCGGAGCCGAGCTAAAGTAACTAGGTCTCTATTCTATTCTCAGGACACTCAAAAGCAAAGCATTCGGGACCCCGAGTCAGAGAAGACTGAATACCCCTTGCAGCTTCTAGGAATCCTTACCCCGCGCTTCCCCTTTCACCTCCAATCCCCAGCCTGGTGGAGACACCTCATTTCTAGGGATGGGGCGACCCCCACTTTCCAGAAAGTCTCCCTCCACGAATTCCCCTAATGGGCTTATTGCAACCTCCTCTGCTTACCTCGCAAATTGCAGGGTGGCAGCTGTAGCAGCAGGAGGAGGAGGAGCTGTAGCCACTGTAAGGGCAGGGCGATGACCCGGCAGCGCAGAAACTGGCTGCAGTTTGCCATAAGTTGAGGCTTCCCGCCTCTGCCCTCCCCACCCCTACACGCTTCGTCCACAGTGTCCGAGCGCCAGAGCGCCACCTTAGGTTAGTTAAACGCGTGCCCACTCCAACCCACGCTCTCTTCGTTGGCAGCGGCGCTGCCTCCACTCCTGGTAGGCTGCAGTCTCCGGCGCTCCAGCTTCTCGTAGCTGGAGCGAAGGGGAAAGGACGTGACTAAAGAGACCCAGCAAAGGGAAAAAAGAGCCCGAGTGCAGTTTGCTGGTGGGCGGAGGTCCGGGGTGGGGGACAGTGGAATTCACTTTCACTTTTGCTTTTGCTTTAGCTCCAAGGAGGATTGGGGAGAGGTGAGGAAGAGAAGACAGTATCCCCATCCTCTCCCTCATATACGACGACTCCTCATCCATCTCCCCTGATCCCAAAACATGTCTGGGCCGGCATCCAGAGGTGCTTAACCCGTCTTACTAGAGGCTGGTTTAGAAAGAAGAATGCAGCAATTTGTCTCAGATGCGCCACCACTTAGCACAACTTCTAGAAATTTTCTTCCTCTTTCTCCTTGCCACTTTACCCCAAATGCCTATCCAATCTAATGACACCATTAGGTACTATGAAAAGTGACAACTTTCAGGTCTAACAGTCCTGAGGGTTACACGTGTGAACAATTACTTTTATTCTGTCTAGAGTGGTGAAAATTGTTGAGACTATAAAATTGTTTTCCACAAAGTTTCTTCTGATTTCTCCCTGCTCAGCTGAAAGTAATCTCTCCTTCAAAGTTTCTTGGAGCATTCCATCAAGGATCATACATTTAGAGATGGAAGGGACCTTATAGGCCATTTATTCCATTTACCTTATTTTACAGAGGAGGAAATGGAGTCCCAGAGAGATAAAGTGATTTGCCCAAGGTCCTACAGGTAGTGTCAGAGACAGATCTTTTTTTGCCCCATCAAATTCTTCCTTGTGTAATATTTACTTGTCTATCTTACTCCGATACATATTGTAAAGCTGGGCAGCTAGGTGGCTCAGTGGATAAAGTAGTGAGTTGGAATCAAGAAGACTTGTCTTCATCAGTTGGAATCTGACGTCAGAAACTTACTAGCAGTGTGATCCTGGGCAAGTCACACGACCCTGTTTGCTTTAGTTCTTTATCTGCAAAATGAGCTGGAGAAGAAAATGGCAAACCCCTTCAGTAGCTTTGCCAAGAAAATCCCAAATGGGGTCATGAAGAGTGGGACACACTGAACAATTGTAAAGCTAATCAAGAGCAAGGATTATGTCATTCCTGACATCAGAAGTGTCTGGGTTTGAAGTCAAGAGAGAGTCATGTTCAAATCCTATTGAACTAGAACCCCATGTTCATGGCCCACTATATGGCCATGGGCAAGTAACAACCTCTCTATCCCTCTATAGTTTCATAATCCCTGTAGTATTTTTATCTAGTCTACCTCTATTCTGGAGTCCATATTATAAACCTATAATGAAAAAAAAGACTGAACTTAAAAGTTAGGAGACCTGGCTTCTGGTCGCTTTATTTCATTAACTTGATGTGCAGCTTTATACAGAAGGCATTAATGTCTCTGCCCCTCACTTTCTTCATTTGGGGAAATATTTATCCAATATATTTATAATTGTGAATAAATCTCATGATTTATTGTGAGAATTAAATGAGTTAATTGTGAAAGAACTTTAAAAAATAAGGTCCTATAAATGCAAGGAAAGTGTTTATTATCTTGTTTTTATCTTTTTTGATGAAGTTCAAATAGAAATGACCAGAAGACAACTGTTATCTTGCTATTATTCTTTTATAGTTAATTATATATGATCCCAGCATGGCATGCCCTCATCAGAGAAGGTGCTGTGCCCTATGAGCAAAGCAGAATTGAAGTAGCTCAAAAGAAACAGGGGATGCACAAATTTAGAGAATGTACCCCAAATGTTCATCTGGATTATTTGTGCCGGACCTGTGGTATTCCAAGCTCAGACTGGTCTGACCAACTACAGTCAGACACACTGTAACTTGACTCTAACATAATGATGTCATTTTGGTCTTCTTTGAGAATAAAGGACAACCACCATATATGGCTTGCTTTTTTCTTTTTCTTTTTTTGGTAATTGAATAGGAGTACTGGGATATAAGTTCATCTTCTATTGGCCTTACTGAAAGCATCTTTGGGACAACTCCAGTAGCAGATAGGATGAAAGGAATTACATGTGCCTTTTGTCATGTACCTCCCACATTAGTTTAATTCTTTTTTCTGCTAGATCTCTATGTTTTGAAAGCTCCATGTAGTTTGGAGATTATGAGTATTTATAAGATAATACATTTAGAGATGGAAGGGACCTTAGAGGTCATTAAATCTGTGTTCCCATTTTACAGATGAGGAATTGAGGCAAATAGAGGTTAAGTGATTGCCCAGGGGGTCGATTTGAACTCAAATTTTTCTGACTCTAGGCCTGGTGCTCTATCTACTGTACCACCTAGCTATCCACATGTAATAATAGCTACCTTTCTTTAAGGTTTCCTAAGTGCCTTATAAATATTTCATTTTATTCTCACAACAACCCTGAGAGGTAGGTGCTAATATTGTCCTCATTTTATGGATGAGGAAACTGAGGCATACAGAGGTTAAAGTCACTTACTCAAGGTCACTTAGCTAGTGTCTGAAGCTAGAGCTGAACTCAGGTGTTCCTGACTCCAGGTATAACTCTCTAGTGTTAGCCCTAACTTTACTTGCAATCAAGCAGAGTGGAGGAAATGCTTATTTCAGAATACTTGTGAAAGAGTAATATATAAAATTAAGACCTAGATCTAAAAAAGGAAAAGGACTTATTTGTACAGTAATATAGCAACTCTTTTTGTGGTGGCAAAGAATTGGAAACTGAGGGAATGCCCATCAGTTGGGGGAATGACTGAGCAAATTGTGGTTTATGACAGTGATGGAATACTATTGACAAGCAGGAAGACTTCAGAAAAAACCTGGAAAGACTTATATGAACTGATGCAGAGTGAAGTGAGCAGAAGAGGAGGACATTGTACAATATAACAGCAATATTGTATAATGATCAACTTTGAATAACTTAGCTATTCTCAGCAATACAATGATCTAAGACAATTCCAAAGGACTCATAATGAAAAAAGTTATCTACTTCCAGAAAAAGAACTGATGGAATCTAAATACAGATCAAAGCATACTATTTTTTGTTTTCTTTATTTGTGTGTGTGTATGTGTGTTTGTGTGTGTGTGTGAGTGTGTGTGTGGTGGTCTGTGTTTTCTTTCACAACATGACTAATATATAAATATGCAATTGGAATAAAATAAAATATTATTAAAAATTAAAAAAAATAAATCCATTGCAAATGTGCCAAGGAATTTTAAAATAGTAATCCAGAATTTCTCAAGCTATGTTCATTTGCATTGACTGAATAAATTCATGAAAAAGAAATAAAAAGACCTAGGCCTGCTAGAATAGTTTAATAGTTATTATTCTATATAATAGAATAGTTTAATGTTATTACAGTATTCCATTTATATCCCCATCACTTAGCAAAGTACCTAGTACTTAATAAATGCTTCCTTCTTCATCGTTAGTTTGCCAAATCTTGCTGTTTTCTACCTCCACATCTCTCAAATATATACTCATACAATCAGTCAATAAACATTTATTAAGCACCTACTTGTGTGCCAAGCTCTATGCTAAGTGCTATTCTAAAAGTCACAATAATAATATCCCTACTTTGTCTTGTTCAACTCCAATCTACCTTCCACAAGTGCCAAAGTGCCAAAGTGATTTTCCTTTAGCACAAATCTGACCAGTTTTCTCTCCTACTCAGGAAATGCCGTTGATGCTAGGATAAAACAGACTCCTCAGCTTGTCTTTTAAAATCCTTTATAAACTGGTCCAAAACTACTTTTTCAACACCATTATACATTATGCCCTTTTCCACGTGCTTCCATCGAAACTGACTTTCTCTCCATTCCTCACATATAACACTACATTTTCCATCTTTGTGTTTTTGTTCTGGCTATCCTCTATGCCTGGAATGAATTTCCTCTTCACCTTCACTTCATAGAATCCCTCATTTCCTTCAAGTTTAACTCAAGCACCACTTTACACAAAACAATTTCTAATATTCTCCAACTCCTAGTGACTTCCCTCCTTAAGAAACGATTCTTAAAGGGGCAGCTAGGTGGCGTAGTGGATAGAGCACCGGCCCTGAAGGCAGGAGGACCTGAGTTCAAATGTGACCTTAGACCAAACACTTGACACTAGCTGTGTGACCCTGAGCAAGTCACTTAACCCCAATCCCCCCCCCCAAAGAAAAAAGATTCTTGGATGGATTCTACCTGCTTGTGTACCTATCGTTTCCCTGATAGAATGTAAGCTCCTTGAGGGCAGAGATTATTTCTTTTTTTTTGCCTTTGTGACCCTGGTGTCTAGATATTTAATAAACAATTGTGATGGATAGTTGCATACCTTTATACATAGTTATGTTCATAATTGAGGTCTCCTTAGGATCAAAGGATTGTTGTGTATTAGAAGTTTATTCCCCCTTCCTTAGTGCATCTGAGTTAGCGTTAATATGTAAAAACCAAGGGAAAAACCTATAAGCACTCCATCAATGGGCCTTTGATTCTGACTTGACAAAAAAAAAAAAAAAATCCAAGGCCATCTTCCTGGCAATGGCCGGTCAATTTAGAGGCCAAACTTCTTGGAGAGTTTAATAGCTACTATACTATATATATCTATGTAGTTTTAGTTGTCTTACTTTCTTCTGCTTCCCCCTCCAAAACCCCCTCCACTTGTCTCGCGTTTCACAATTCCAAAAGTAATTGTCCAACTGGGTCCAAATGGCTCCAAGGACCCTAAGATCATAGCCATGATCCTTCACATTCCCCTTGTTAACCAGCCTTGGGTGGATGAGAGACATTTCAGTCCTATGATTCTCACCCACCTCAATCAATTATTATGTTTAAAGATCCCAAAGCATAGATCTGGAAGCAGAACTAACAGTACACGTCTTACTCCCTATTGATCTTGGTAGGGGTTCCTGTCTCCTTCTAGTTGGAGAGAGTGAGAGTGTACATCTGGGAGCTACTCTCAGGGGTGGGGAACCTGTGGCCTCAAGTCCACATATGGCCCTCTAGGACCTCAAGTGTGGCCCTTTGACTGAATTCAAACTTCACAGAGCAAATCCCACCTGTCTAGACCCTCTGCTTGAAGAG